CAATTTGGCTTCCTCTTTTCCTAATTGAATACCCTTTATTTCTTTCTCCTGCCTAATTGCCCTGACCAGCACTTCCAACACTATGTTGAATAGGAGTGGTGAGAGAGGGCATCCCTGTCTTGTGCCAGTTTTCAAAGGAAATACTTCCAGTTTTTGCCCATGCAGTATGGTATTGGCTGTGGGTTTGTCATAAAGAGCTCTTATTATTTTGTGATACGTTCCATCAATACCGAATTTATTGAGAGTTTTTCGCATGAAGGGCTGTTGAATTTTGTCGAAGGCCTTTTCTGCATCTGTTGAGATCATCATGTGGTTTTTGTCTTTGGTTCTGCTTATGTGATGGATTACATTTATTGATTTGCCTATGTCAAAACAGCCTTGCATCCCAGAGATGAAGTTGACTTGATCATGGTGTATAAGCTTTTTGATGTGCTGCTGGATTCAGTTTGCCAGTATTTTATTGAGGATTTTTGCATTGATGTTCATCAAGGATATTGGTCTAATATTCTCTTTTTTTGTTATGTCCCTACCAGGCTTTGGTATCAGAATAATCCTGGCCTCATAAAATGGGTGAGGGAGGATTCCCTCTTTTTCTATTGATTGGAATAGTTTCAGAAGGAATGGTACCAGCTCCTCTTTGTACCTCTGGTAGAATTTGGCTGTAAATCCGTCTGATCTTGGACTTTTTTTGGTTGATAGACTATTAATTATTGCCTCAATTTCAGAACCTGATATTGGTCTAATCAGAGATTCAACTTCTTCCTGGTTTAGTCTTGGGAGAGTGTATGTGGCCAGGAATTTATCCATTTCTTCTAAATTTTCTAGTTTATTTGCACAGAGGTATTTATAGTATTCTCTGATGGTAGTTTGTATTTCTGTGAGATCGGTGGTGATATCCCCTTTATCATTTTTTATTGAGTCTATTTGATTCTTCTCTCTTTTCTTCTTTATTAGTCTTGCTAGCGGTCTATCAATTTTGTTGATTGTTTCTAAAAAACAGCTCCTGGATTCATTGATTTTGGAAGAGTTTTTTGTGTCTCTATCTCCTTCAGCTCTGCTCTGATTTTAGTTATTTCTTTCCTTCTGCTAGCTTTTGAATTTGTTTGCTCTTGCTTCTCTAGTTCTTCTAATTGTGATGCTAGGGTGTCAATTTTAGATCTTTGCTGCTTTCTCTTGTGGGCATTTAGTGCTATAAATTTCCCTCTACACACTGGTTTAAGTGTGTCCCAGAGATCTGGTATGTTGTGTCTTTGTTCTCATTGGTTTCACAAAACATATTTATTTCTGCCTTCATTTCATTATTTACCCAGTAGTCATGCAGGAGCAGGTTGTTCAGTTTCCATGTAGTTGAATGGTTTTAAGTGAGTTTCTTAATCCTGAGTTATAATTTGATTGCACTGTGGTCTGAGGTACAGTTTGTTGTGATTTCTTTTGTTTTACATTTGCTGAGGAGTGCTTTACATCAAACTATGTAGTCAATTTTTGAATAAGTGTGATGTGGTGCTGAGAAGAATGTATATTGTGTTGATTTGGGGTGGAGTGTTCTATAGATGTCTGTTAGTTCCACTTGGTGCAAAGCTGAGTTCACGTCCTGGATATCATTGTTAACCTTCTGTCTCGTTGCTCTGTTTAATATTGACAGTGGGGTGTTGAAATCTCCCATTATTATTGTGTGGGAGTCTAAGTCTCTGTGGGAGTCTAAGTCTCTTTGTAGTTCTCTAAGGACTTGCTTTATTAATCTGGGTGTTCCTGTATTGGATGCATATATATTTATGATAGCTAGCTCTTCTTGTGGAATTGATCCCTTTACCATTATGTAAATGGCCTTCTTTGTCTCTTGATCTTTTTTGGTTTAAAGTCTGTTTTATCAGAGACTAGGATTACAACCCCTGCTTTTTTTTTGCTTTCCACTTGCTTGGTAGATCTCCCTCCATCCCTTTATTTTGAGCCTATGTGTGTCTCTACACATGAGATGAGTCTCCTGAATACACTGATGGATCTTGACTCTTTATCCAATTTGCCAGTATGTGTCTTTTAATTGGGGCATTTAGCCCATTTATATTTAAGGTTAATATTGTTATGTGTGAATTTGATCCAGTCATTATGATGTTAGTTGCTTATTTTGCCTGTTAGTTGATGCAGTTTCTTCCTAGCATTGACAGTCTTTACAATTTGGCACGTTTTTGCAGTGGCTAGTACCAGTTGTTCCTTTCCATGCTTAGTGCTTCCTTCGGGAGCCTTGTAAGGCAGGCCTGGTGGTGACAAAGTCTCTCAGCATTTCCTTGTCTGTAAAGGATTTTATTTCTACTTCATTTATGAAGGTTAGTTTGGCTGGATATGAAATTCTAGGTTGAAAATTCTTTTCTTTAAGAATGTTGAATATTGGCCCCCTCTCTTTTCTGACTTGTAGAGTTTCAACTGAGAGATCTGCTGTTAGTCTGATGGACTTTCCTTTGTGGGTAACCCGACCTTTCTCTCTGGCTGCCCTTAACATTTTTTCCTTCATTTCAACCTTGTTGAATCTGACAATTATGTGTCTTGGGGTTGCTCTTCTCAAGGAGTATCTTTGTGGTGTTCTCTGTATTTCCTGAATTTGAATGTTGGCCTGCCTTACTAGGTTGGGGAAGTTTTCCTGGATAATATCCTGAAGAGTGTTTTCCAACTTGGTTCCATTCTCCCTGTCACTTTCAGGTACACCAATCAAATGTAGATTTGGTCTTTTCACATAGTCGCATATTTCTTGGAGACTTTGTTCATTTCTTTTTACTCTTTTTTCTCTAAACTTCTCTTCTAGCTTCATTTCATTAATTTGATCTTCAATCACTGATACCCTTTATTCCACTTGATTGAATCGGTTATTGAAGCTTGAAGCTTGTGCATGCACAACATAGTTCTCGTGCTACGGTTTTCAGCTCCATCAGGTCATTTAAGGTCTTCTCTACACTGTTTATTCTAGTTAGCCATTCATCTAATCTTTTTTCAAGGTTTTTAGATTCCTTGGAATGGGTTTGAACATCTCCCTTTAGCTCAGAGAAGTTTGACCTTCTGAAGCCTTCTTCTGTCAACTCATCAAAGTCATTCTCCACCCAGCTTTGGTTAATTGCTGGTGAGGAGCTGCAATCCTTTGGAGGAGAAGAGGCACTCTGCTTTTTAGAATTTTCAGCTTTTCTGCTCTGGTTTCTCCCCATCTTTGTGGTTTTATCTACCTTTGGTCTTTGATGATGGTGACCTACTGATGGGGTTTTGGTGTGGATGTCCTTTTCATTGATGTAGATGCCATTGCTTTCTGTTTGTTAGTTTTCTTCCTAACAGTCAGGTCCTTCAGCTGCAGATCTATTGGAGTTTGCTAGAGGTCCACTCCAGACCCTGTTTGCCTGGGTATCACCAGCAGAGGCTGCAGAATAGAAAATATTGCAGAACAGGAAATATTGCTGTCTGGTCCTTCCCCTGGAAGCTTTGTCCCAGAGGGGCACCCAGCTATATGAGGTATCAATTGGCCTCTACTGGGAGGTGTCTCCCGGTTAGGCTACACAGGGGTCAGGGACCCACTTCAGGAGGCAGTCTGTCTGTTCTCAAGCATTGTGCTGGGAGAACCACTGCTCTCTTCAGAGCTGTCAGACAGGGATATTTAAGTCTGCAGAGGTTTCCATTGCCTTTTGTTCAGCTATGCCCTGTCCCCCATGGTGGAGTCTATAGAGGCAGGCAAACCTTGTTGAGCTGCGATGGGTTCCTGGCTGGGGAGCTGGGGAGTTTCCTGGCCACATTGTTTACCTACTCAAGCCTCAGCAATGGTGGATGCCCCTACCCCAGCCAGGCCGCTGCCTTGCAGCTCGATCTTGGACTGCTGTGCTAGCAGTGAGCAAGGCTCCATGGGCATGGGACCCACTGAACCAGGCTTGGGATATACTCTCCTGGTGTGCCGTTTGCTAAGACCATTAGAAAAGCCCAGTATTTGGGTGGCAGTGTCCTGATTTTCCAGGTACAGTCTGTCATGACTTCCCTTGGCTGGGAAAGGGAAATCCCATGACCCCTTGCACTTCCTGGGTGAGGCAATGCCCCGCCCTGCTTCAACTTGCCCTCTGTGGGCTGCACTCACTGTCCAACCAGTCCCAGTGAGATGAACCAGGTACCTCAGTTGGAAATGCAGAAATTACCCATCTTCTGCATTGATCACACTGGGAGTTGTAGACCGGAGCTGTTGATATTCGGCCATCTTGGAATGCCTGCAGTTTATTTTTAATACCAACTTTCCAAATTTCAAGAACTCCCTTTTTCTATCAGCAAGATTTAATTGTAATCAAAGAGTTTTAGTATAGTATCTTGTGCCTGCTATGAAATTATAAAATCTATTTGACACTCACAACCAAGATGTTGCTGATTATCCTCAGCCAGCTCCCCCTGAGGAGAACTAGTGGAGAATCCTGTCTCTACTGTCTCGTGGAGTGGAGAAGAATGGTAAATAGAAGAAGCAGGAATTTAAAATGTGGGAAAATATCAATTTTACATATAACCAAATATTTTCTTTAAAATTTACCAAAAATTGTTAAACCCTAAGATGTATTCAACATGTTTTGCCAGAAATAATCAATTGTCTGGCTGTTTTGCTCAATAAATTTCAACAAATGTAGGCAAGGAAGGAGGATTCAGATGAGATTCCATTCTCCTTTTCCTTTTGTCCCAATTTGTTACTCACAGGGTCCTTGAACCTCCTCATTCTCCTCTTGCTTATGAGGGTGAAGGCTGTGTGAGGTGACAGAAACATAAACCAGGCCACTGACCTGACACAATGTTTCACAACTATACACCTAGAAGGTTGGGAGGCCACATCAGGTGAGTGGCTTGAGTCCATGGGCTTGACAACAGGTTGGGCAACATGGCGAAGTACTGATGCTATGAAAAATATAAAAATTAACCATGTTTTGTGGCATGCACCTGTCGTCCCAGAGTCCTCAGAAGCAAACTCTGACCTGATTCCACCAACAGCCTCCTCTTCTGCAGTCTCAGAGACCCTGCTGAGCTGCTCCCAAGACAAGCAGTGCATGTGAGCAGCTGGGACACCCCAGAAGAGAGGTTTCTGTTTGGGGATGTACCACTGTGGGAGGAAGCTCTCTACCTTGCATGCAATAATAAACCCCAATATCCTCAGCCTCCACCTTGCTGATTTCTAGTGTGAAATCAGTGCCTGACCCACTGCCACTGAACCTGTCTGGGACTCCAGAGGCCCGGTATGAAGTAAAATACATCAGGAGCTGTGGAGACTGGCCTGGTATTTGCAGGTACCAATGCAAATAGGTGAATCCAACATCACTATCCATGAGGCTCTGACTAGACCTGCAGGAGATGGAGGCTGGCTCTCCAGGGGTGACGGGCAGGAAGAGTGGAGTCTGGGTCATCACAATGTCCCCACTGGATCCTGAAATAATAACAGAGAAGTGCAAGGTTATATAGACCATTATGAACAACTTTCATGATTTCCCTTAAGATTTCGATTTATGGTTACATATTTTTAAAGTTTTGATTTATATCATAAAAAATAGACTTTCTAAAATGAATCCAGTATTTATTAGCCAGCAGGGAATGCTCTATTTTCAAAATCTTAATCAGAGCACTGATCATTGTTCCTGGGAGATGATTCATGCTTATTCCTGAGAGAAAAATATGAATTATCTTTGCTGGAGCATAGACCATGTGCCTGTACACATGGTTGAAATAAATATAGAAAGCTGTGGAGCCCACAGAACTCACCCTCCCACTCTGTTTTCCCACCTCATTTTAATCCTATCCTTACCAGGGAGCCAGAGCACTAATAGCCCCAGGAGCTGAACAGGGAGCCTCATTGTGAGAAAGTGACCTGAGGAGTCCTGATCAGTCAAGGCAAGGTTAGAGCTGAGCTTTTATCTCAGACTCACAAGGGAAGGTCCTCCCTAGGGGACAGTATGCAAATCCCCTGGTGGGTGCAGTGTTGTGGAAAAGATTGATGGGGCAGGGGGAATGTCTCTTCTGTGAACAATGTGACATAAAATGTTTGTTGGAGCAAAACAAAGATAGTTCAAGTCAAGTTTGCATGTGGTCAAGGGAAGAAGGCTCTGACTGTGCAAGTTGGGACCTTGGGCAGGGACACATTGTGCAGAGCATGCCACACAGAGAAAGCACAAGGACCCTGACAATGTGGAAATGTGTTTCTAGGATGCATCTCTGGGAGGTGAATGCCATCCTGCATGACTCCCTCCAGTCAGTCTAGAGAAGAAAACAGCCCCCATTCCCACAAGCACAGATGGGCAGAGGGTCTGCAAATGAAAAGTGCTCCTGAGCCAGTTCAAGTGTTGCCTGGTATCTGCTGTTTCCAGGATAACTGTTGAAGATCTTTCAATGCAAGTGTTAGAATCTCCCTTTCCCTGGGACCTGGTAAGTAGGCCCCAAAAGAGTGTTCTGTCCGAGGGCCTCAAAGGGAGAATGATGGGGGTCTTTACGTTTAGAACCAAGAGCTCCGCATAAGTAAGAGGAAAAGGCACAAGAATGTTGTGCCTCAGGCAGTGAATTTAAAATTCCTGGTGACCAACTGTTCAATCTGGGGTAATCCCATCATAAACATCTCACATATACAAGATTAACTAGCAGGATCTCATAGGTAAGAATGTCCTCGGTTAATGATACAGACCAATAAGAAATCACATTGCCTGATGTTTTCCTGAGTGGTGCTTAGGAAAACTCTCTTCACACAATCTCCCTGGTCATGTGGGATCAGGTCTTATCAGGGCTTCCAGGTTGTTGCCAACACTGAGTGACACCTGAATCACCCCCAGCCTAGATGTGGTGCAGTCACAGCCATGAGTCTGCAGTTCAGAAGGAAATTGTCTACATGAGAAGCACAAGGACTGCATCTACAGTCTGATGTCCCAGGGTAACCTGTACCTGAAACTGACATTTTCATGGTTTCATGTAAAGATGCGCACAGCTCAGGGATGTGAATCTGCCCCACAGCTGATCATTACAAAGGGAAACAATGTCATGTTTCTTCATTTGTTGGTGATGTGCTTAATATTTAATTGAACAGTTCCTGAATAATGGTGCCGACACCAAACACCATCACAAGGACAGTGACATTTCTGGGGAAAAAAAAAAAACTGGTAACAATTGAAAGACTAGCTTGTAGTGTTATGTAATCTTGAGTAATTTAGCAGAAATTTACATTTAATTGCCCAAGAATGCAAACATATTTAGTTCTAGGTAAGATTCCAGAGGAAGGCTTGGTTTAAATATCTTCTGGGATATCTACCAAAATAACATCTTTTCCAAGACTGGAAAAAATAATTGAATAGCAATGATATTGATCTTTAAATATTGAACTCCATTGCAATAATGTGGGTTAAGGAGATCGAATTGTACTTAAGAGGTTGGATTGGAATAAAGGCTTATATTATACTATTTCAATTTTATTTACTCTTTTCTCATTAAATTGAATAACTTTCATGTACCTGACTTTTTCTTTTCTTATGTTATTAACTAAGTCTAATCTGCTTCTAAGTCTTCAAAAAGTCAGACTCTTAACTAATGAAAATAGTGGAAAAAAAGAAACATCAGAGGCAGTAGAAAAATAAAAATAAAACACAAAACACAATCAGCCAAACTAACATAGAGCGAGATGGTGCATCTCATTGCAAGTTCTAAATAATTACTCTCAAAGGGTGTTAAATGAAGAATCAGTTCTATCCATTATCCAATATGGAAACTTGATTTGCAGGAAAGTGAGTAACAGCAAAAAAATTGTCATGATTTCTTTTACTAAAAAGTTAATTATTGAAAAGGCTATTTTTGCAAAATATTCTTTAAGGTGTATGAATTTAAGACAGCCTTGCTATTTCCTGTGAAACTTATGCCAAGACTTTGACAACAGCAGACGAAGCTAGTCACTCCACAGTGGACAAAGATCAGAAGATGTCAAAACCACCTCCATTCGGATCTAGGTGTACAGCAGGCCTCTGCATCTCTAACATGAACTGTGGTCATCCGAATGAGAGAGGACTTATACAGGTGGGGTTTATTGTGGCTGTGTCTCCTTTTCCTGGTGCAGTTAGTTTGGGGTCCATAGAATTGGGAGCAACTGCGTTATTAATAGGACTTAGGAAGAGAGTCTTAGAAGTGGAATTGTTTGTGTTCATGACCCTGGAGTCAGTGTTTGGGGTGGACACTGTGATCTGATTTGTAGGGGATTGGAAGGACTTGTGGGCTGAGCAAGGAGAAGAGATGGCCACAGGGGGCAGTCGCACACACGACTTTATTCCGTGAGGTTTTGACAAGTTTGCAGAGACAAGTTTCTCCCAGCAGGAATCTGTACAGAGAATAAGATGCCAGTGTTGCTTCTCAAAACGGATGGGTCACTGGACAACGGGCTTTGTGTCTAGAGGACACCGCACAGCAACACAGTGGGGAGTTTCTGGTTTAAGGTTTGCATAACTGGGGTTTATCTTATTGTTAGCAGAAGTGGTTGAAATTTTCTCGACATGCAAAGTGAGTATATTCTAGAAGATTAAAAACATTCTTCCTTGGGGTGTTTTTAAAATAATTGCATTTAAAATTTGAGTCTGAAACAAGCCATTAAGAAGTAAACACAGTTTTGAAATAAACGACATAGGGGCCAGGACACATGGGTCATCTTTAACTCATTTATATATCACTGTTTCCAACTCTGTAGACTTTGTTCTACAGACGGTATTAGTCCAAAGTGTCCAAATCAGCACTACCGTGGATGAGGTTGAGAAACACAGAGGCCTGTTCCCCACCTGGGCCACAATGAAAGTTCTTTTTGATTAAAGGGGAGAGTTTCTCTTTGGTTGAGAATTAAGACAAAGTCACCCACGGAGTGCCCCCCGGTGAAGCTGCAAGTCCTGTGACTGGATTCCTGGCTGCAAGGAACCTGGGGTGGAAGCTGTCTGCATTATCTCACTAACTGTAAATTCTCACTCACTGGAGCATCGATTCACAGTAAATACTCTGGAACACAGAGAGCTCAGGGAATGAAGGCTCCGTGAATGTGTATCTTCTGCTTCTGAGAATCCATCTCGCTGGCACTGGAAGAAACAGGGTTGTTCATACATTGCACCTTCAGACCCTGTTGCAGACCTGTCTAAGCTGAACCTGTTTCCAAATGGTTGAAGTATTGTTTTTTACTTTTTCTTGGAAAAAAATGTTTAGAAATCCTGTAAAACTGTACTCACAGCTGTGGGATTCAGTGATGCGCTTTTCCTCTGTGCTTGTTAATGTTTCTGCCAAGCCCACCTCACCTACAAACAAACTGCACAAAGTGAAGCAATGATTCTGTTTCCTTCCTGAGAATTCTGTGTCCAAGTCACTTCAATCTCTGTGTCTGTCTTCAAATTGGCTTCTCTTCTGCAGGCTTTGTTAAAATGTCTATCTCTATCTTATAAGGAAAATCTTGATGCCCTTATAGGATGGAGATAGACAGACATTTAACAAAGACTTTTTATTGACCGCCTGGACCAGTGCCCATCTGGTCAATACAAGATAATCTGCCCATTTCATAATCCTTAATTTACATGTTTGATTAAATTCTGATGAGAAAGCAAAATGGGCTAAAAATTTCATCCTCAAGGAAACATTCATGTTTAGTGCACAGAAACTGAAGATGAAGCCTGAGTTCTCCTTCCTCACCAGAGAGCTGGAAAAGCAGGAGGAAGAGGAGCAAAGCTGGGTCCCGACATCCCCGAGTGCCTCTTGAGGCTGCTCCTGCTCACAGAGTGGGGAAGGTGGATGAGTCAGCTTGCGCTGCCACACCAAAAACATGGGACTGGATGGCATAAACCACAGAATTTAATTTCCACATTTCCTATGCCCCCAGACGGATGTCCAGCAGGGTTTGTCTTCTGGTAAAAACCTTCGTACCGGTTTGCAGATACCACCTTCTCACCATGTCTTCCCATAGCCTTTCCATGGAGCGGAAGGCAGTTAGAGAGACAGAAGGAAAAGGAGAGCTCTCTGGACCTTGTAAAAACATGAATCCTGCTGGATCAGAGACCCCCCCATTATGACCTCAATTACGTCTTTAGAGGTCCTAATTTCAACAGTCACATTGAAAATTAGGGTTTCTGCAAACAGGGACAATTTGACTTCTTCTTTTCCTAACTGAATCCCCTTGATTTCTTTCTCTTGCCTGATTGCCCTAGCCAGAACTTCCAACACTATGTTGAATAGGAGTGGGGAGAGAGGGCATCCCTGTCTTGTGCCAGTTTTCAAAGGGAATTTTTCCAGTTTTTGCCCATTCAGTATGATATTGGCTGTGGGTTTGTCATAAATAGCTCTTATTATTTTGAGGTACGTTCCATCAATACCGAATTTATTGAGCGTTTTTAGCATGAAGGGCTGTTGAATTTTGTCAAAAGCCTTTTCTGCATCTATTGAGATAATGATGTGGTTCTTGTCTTTGGTTCTGTGTATATGCTGGATTATGTTTATTGATTTGCGAATGTTGAACCAGCCTTGCATCCCAGGGATGAAGCCCACTTGATCATGGTGGATAAGCTTTTTGATGTGCTGCTGGATCTGGTTTGCCAGTATTTTATTGAGGATTTTTGCATCGATGTTCATCAGGGATATTGGTCTAAAATTCTCTTTTTTTGTTGTGTCTCTGCCAGGCTTTGGTATCAGGATGATGTTGGCCTCATAAAATGAGTTAGGGAGGATTCCCTCTTTTTCTATTGATTGGAATAGTTTCAGAAGGAATGGTACCAGCTCCTCCTTGTACCTCTGGTAGAATTCAGCTGTGAATCCATCTGGTCCTGGACTTTTTTTGGTTGGTAGGCTATTAATTATTGCCTCAATT